CACACACACACACACACACACACACACACACACACACACACACACACACACACACACACACCTTGCATTTCAGCAAGCAGCAACAGGTTTGTTTAAAAGATTAATCTAAAATCTTGTTTCTAAAACTGTCAGTCGGCTTGATAACATAACGCAAGAATTCAACAAGATCGGCTGATTTACTTTGCTAAACCGGCCGTTAATACTTTTTTCTCTTTCTTTTTCTTTCCTTTAATCACTTCTCTCTAATAAAAATTGCATTTTATTTTTAATATATTCCTTTCATCAAGATAATAGAATTTCGCGAGATTTGGCATAAAAATTATTGCCGTCAGTTATAGCAGTTGGAACGTAATAAAATATTATATCTCTTCCATCTTCCAGCTATACCGAGACTAACTACTCGCATTTATTGACGATAGTGTTATTGTATGAACAAGATGGAGTATCGTATTACGTTACGATCTTGTGAAATAAATAGCCTTAAGTGCATCCTATTGTTAAGACTATCAAATCTGCAGTGAGGAAAGATTGAGCGATAGTAGAAAATGCGAAATGGTAGGAGATGAAAAAGTGTATAGTGTAAAGCAGTAAACAGATTAATCATCACAAGAAATTTATGTCGAAAATCAAAAAGATTTAACGCGGCTGCGAGACTGTTGGCTGTTCCTCGACTGATTGCGCGGTGACGGAGCCGGTGTTAAGATCGGTGTAGTCGTGCCAGTGGTGGCGGCACTGGTACGCGATGAACGAGACGAATGTTTGCGACCGAATCGAAAGAATCGTCAGAAGAAGATCACCTCCTCCTCTGGCGGTGGTTGCTGCTGCTGTTGTTGAGATTGTGGCTCCATACTTCGCTGCTGCTGCTGTTGTGTTTGCTGATGTACGTACGGGGTGTCGGGCGGTGAGCGAGTAATGCGAAGCGAGCGATTCGACAAATGCGTATGATTTCCGCCAATTCCATGGTGGTGGCTGTTCCCAAGCTCTGGTGACGAATAGGCAGACGATCCGGTGACAATCGCAGGACTGCTGCCTGCCCTGGAGTGTCGATCCGGGCTATTATTGCTGGTACTGCTACCGCTTCTGTCGAACATAGATACGAAACATAAGATTATTACTTGTCAACTAAAAGATAAATGTTTGCGATGATTAGGGTGGAATGAGCTAGTTCTACCTTGTGTTATTGTTACTCCCACTGGCAAGCTTCAGTGGTAGCTGTTGCTTAACCGGCAAATTACTCTGTACTTTCTGCTGATTCGTCGCGCTAATTAAATTTAGAGGGATGCGTTTCGTTTCGGGTTGTGCTTTACTACGTGCGCTTTGCATTTCGGCATTTTGCGTTACGTGAGATAGATGAATCATTGTCGAGCCGGTTGTGGAACTTCCGACCAGCGTTACGCCCTGTCGCTCCAATGCCTCGAGTCGTCGATACAACTGATCTCGTTGTTGCGTTACATCCCGCTGCTCCGCAGCCAATTGCTCTCTCTGTCGCGTCAATTCAGTTCGTTCCTCCTCCAATTGAGTCTTTTCCTGTTGAGATGCAACACGAAACGCTGCTTTCTCCCGGCAAAGCTGATCCTGCAAGTTCCGTAATTCTTCCAATTGACGATTCGGATTCGGTCGGCTATTGGATGGTTTGCCCTCTTTACAAGCAGCCAATTGCGCTTGCAGGCTATCGATCGTTGTCATTTGATTACTTATTATACAGAGCAACGTATAAACATGATGAGACAAACGTATCGCCGCCCATTGCTGATCCTTGTTTGTCTCCAATTCTTGGCCTTTCTCATCGGGATTTTCTTTGGGTAACTCGCACAGTTTCGGAACGGGAATTACGGTATGCGTCATGTTCGAATCACGTGGATATCTTTCCTAAAAATCAAATATCATTTTATATGACATTTACTTGATTATTTGACATTTACTTGTTCATTTATACGTACTTTATTATGATCAAAACCGGCAAATGTTTCGGCCCTTCGAGGAACGCAAAGAGCTGGTGGAATGTAAGCTTCACTGTGACGTTCACCGGCGGAGCTTAAGCTTCGTGACAAAGTAGCGCCGCCCGCGCTGAATGACAGCGAGCTAGCGAGACGTGTCGCTTCTTGCACGGCCACAACTACCTGTATCCAATATAAAATTTAATTTTATTAATCTGCCGATTTATAAATTAAAAATCCACAATAATTTAATTTATAAATAATATTCATTGGATAAGATGGTATTAATTGGATAATACTAACTTCTTGCCATAATTGAGTGGTATCAGTTCCTTCATTGTGCACCAGCCGAGTATAATCGGCACCTTCTTTCTCAGGCTTTTCAATTTTCTCGTTATCGCTTTCGTTCCCACTCCAAACATTCGCCGCTTGTAAGA